GGGCCCCTTCCAAAAAAAAAAAAAAAAAAAAAAAAAAAAAAAAAAAAAGTGCCCGTCATACCTTCTGGTTTCTGACTCATGAGAATCGAGCGCCAGGACAGAGTACTGAGGACTGTAGGAGTGAGGCTATAGAAAGGACAGAAGGAGGACATAGGAACTTGCAGAGAATGGCTTCAGGGAGAAGAACTCGTGGGTGGACTGGCTGTGGAGGGCACTGGGACAGGTCCCTGTGGAGCTGCGCACTCCTCAGTCATTGTCATTCTCTCCCAGGGTCCTTCACCAGGTACAGCTCCCAAACCTAAGCTGAGCTTGGATGTTAAGATCTCTTGCATGAATGCTTCTGTATTTCCCCATATGTGTATATTCCTTCTGCAGAGAGGGCTGCATCCTCCAAGGCCAGATTTGTTCAAAATCTAACTTGCCTGCCTGGCATGCCTGGTGTTCCTTAATAGTTCACACTTATCAACTCTCACTAAATACAGACTGGCTCAGTCGCTCATAGTCTTTTGGGACATGAGGTATTTTGTCTTCATAATTTTTATTGTTACAATTATAAAGCAAAGTAAATCCACAGACAATGTCCACTTTATGTGGTTCTTGGGTCCCGGGGATCTTTAAAGAGTACCAGTGTATATTGGCTCTTAAGGTAGTAAACTCTGCCAGAGCACAAGACAACTAAGCACTTGAAAAGTTCATCATGAAAGTCAAGATTCAAACACCTCATGACAAAATTAGAAGATGTGTCAACTGTGTCACAAGCTACAATATGACTAATTGCCAACTGAATCAAAGGATGGAAATGACTCATGACTTTGAAAAGCCAGGAATTTCTCATCATGAGAAGCTGCTTAACTCTTCTAGACGCCTCAACATTATTTCTCAACATGTAGTCCATGGATCACCATCATTGAAATCACCTGGGAGATATTTAACTATAAGTTCCTAGGTTCACTTATTACATTAAATTATTAAGCCTGGAGTCTGACAATCTTAGTGGGTTCCCTGGGTGATTTTTATCCCCTGAATCTTGTGATTCACTGCTATGAATGTTCTCCAGGTAATGTGACAAACGTGTTCCTCAGAATTACCATTGTAGGGCTAGTTTAGACTATTGAGGGCTTGTCTAACATATGCAAATTCCTGGGTTCAGTCCCGCACATAAATTGGTCTTGGTATGTCATACCTATAATCTCAGCACTGCATAAGTAGAGGCAGGAAGATCCAAAAATTCAGAATCATCCTCAGCTACATCGTAAGATCAAGGCCAGCCTGGGATATATGGAACATTTGTCTTAAGTGCACACACACACACACACCCCTTGTGTATATTTTTCTACTGTGTAATACTTGTTCTAGAAAATTTTTGAGTGAAAACCTATCAATTTTGGGCGGGGGGGAGGAGAGGTATAGGAGAAAGCTCAGTAAAACCTGAATTTAATCCCCCCACATCACACATGCACAAAAAAAGCCAGGGGTGGTGGTACCCACTTATAATCCTAGTCCTGGGGAGGCAGAGACAGGCAGAATCCTTATGCTCACAGACCAGCCAAGCTTACCTATTTGCTGAGTTCCACGCCAGTGAGAGACCCTGTCTTAAAAATAGATGGGTGGCTTCTCAAGAACAATACCCATTCACATATACTTGCACATACATAATCCACAAAAAGAACTTTCTGGGTGCAGGAGATACTGAGAGTGAAATCCAGGGCCTTGCATATGCTAGGCAAGTTGTCTACCACTGAGAGAAAGAGAGAACTTTTAAGGGATAATTAAGGTTAAATAAGTTGTTAGGGTCGAGTCTTAATCTAATAGAGTTGGTTACCTCATAAGAAGAGGGGAGAGGGCTGACAAGGTGGCTCAGTAACTGAGGGTGCCTGCCACCAGTCCTGACAGCCTGAGTTCCATCCCTGGGACTCACATGGTAGAAAGAGAGAACTGACTTCTGGAACTTTTCCTTTGACCTCCACTCACATACCATGGCACACACATGCCCACACACATACACACCATTCACACAAACTAAATAAAATAAGTAATTTTTTAATGAAAAAAGAGGGAGAAAGAGAGCAGTCTCTCCACACACAAGCAGTAAGGAAAGGGCCTAAACGCTTTGAGAATTGTGGCTACCACCTATAAATCTGAACAGTCTTCTTCAGGAACCACCTGTGATGATGTCTTAATCTTAGGACTTCTAAGCCTCTGTAATTGTGTGACACAATCCCCAGTAAACCTGAGAGCAAGTAGAGGGGAAAGAAAGAGTATTAGATTTGTTTCCCTGAAGACCCCTGATTAATGCACATTTGGAACTGAGGAGTGTCTACCACCACAATATGTGCCTGGCGGTTGAAAGAAGCTTTGATGCTGTATACTAGGTAGAGGGTAGAGATCTAGGCATTAGAGTCACATAAAAACAAGCATGTTACTGGAACCTGGAGAAAAGGCAGTCCTTGTTATAAAGTAGCAGAGAATTAGGTTGATGCGCGTTCTAGAGTTGTGTGGAAGAACTTTGGTATGATCAAAGTGGGCGTTTTATTGAAGATATCATCCTCTGAGAATGCCTTGGTTCCTCCTGACTGCTTGTAGTAATGTGCTGAAGGGAAGACATGGATCAAAGACGGAATGATTAACCCTTTTGGATCCAGAACTTGAAGATTTTCAAAACTGTCATTCTTTTCTGTTGCAAGAAATGGGAAGACACATTCTGAGAGAATTACCAGAGATGTGGCCTATCTGCTGATAAAGAAGTAGTATAAACAGAAATATTACCAGTGGGAACAGAAGGGGCTGGAAACAGTAAAATGGACTTCCTGGATTCACCAGGTCAACGCAGTAGCCTTATGTGGCTGCTCACTTACACTGTTCTTTAAAAAAAGAGAAAAGGGTGTTCCTAGACATGACTCAGCCATCAGCAGGGCCACCGCCTTGGTTCCAACAGGCTAGATGGCCTCTCCATGGAGCCTCAGGGACAGGGTTGCTTGGCAGAGCTATGGGGATGGCATCCACACCTGCACCCATGAAGGTGATGCTGACCCCACTGGGTTCAAGCAAATAGCATCAAACCCAAGAAGATTGTTCTCCATGCTTAGGATCTAACTGAATTTTGCCTTACTGGGCTGTGAAGTTGCTTGAGACTAGTCACCTTCTTTCTTCCAGTTTCTCCTTTGGTGGAAGCGTCCGCCCTGGGCGAGTCCTACCACTGGTATTGGTTGCATGTAGCTTGTCTGGTTGCATAATTTTGCCTCAGGATGAGTCTTACCTCAGGTCTCACCTGAATCTGATTCAGCTGACATTTAGATAAGATTCTGGACTTTAGAGTTGGTGCTGGATGACTTAGTACCTTTATCTTGGGCTGATGTGATGGAATGAATGTGTTCTGCATGGGAGGATATGAATTTTAGAGAGGCCAGGTGCAGAATGCTGTGAGACTGAATTGTGTCTTCCTCACCCCCAATTCATATGCCAGAGTCCTACCCCCCAGTGTGATTATATTTGAAGATAAGGTTTTGAGGGAGTAATTAAGTTTTAATGAGGTCATAATGATGGAGGCTCAATCTTAGGATTGGTGTCCTTACAAGAATAGGAAGAGAGATTGTTCTCTTTGTGTGTGCACTCTGAGGAAAGGCCATGTGAGTTCAATAAGAAGGCAGCCATATGCAAGAAGAGCCCTCCCAGAGTCCTACCATGTTGGCACCCTGATCTAGGACTTAAAACATCTGGAACCACAAGAAAATTATTTCCATGGTTTAAACTACCTAGTTTATGGTATTTTGTTACAGTTCCTAAAACAGACTAAGATACAGCTTATAATTAAAAGCCATTAAAATAGGCTTTGGGGAGCTGGAGAGATGGCTCAGCGGTTAAGAACACTGATTGTTATTTTTAAAATTGTTATTTTTAAAATATTTTAAAAAATTCTCCAAAGGCCAATTTAAAAAATATTTTTTATTATTTTTATTTTATGTGCATGGGTGTATTGCCTGCATGTAGGTAAGTGCATCTGTGTCATGCAGTGCCCACGGAGAAAAGAAGAGGCTGTTGGATTCCCTGGAACTGGAGTTATGGACAGTTGTTAGCTGCCATGTGGGTGCTGGGATTCGAACCCGGGTCTTCTGCAAGAACAACCAGTGTTCTTAACTGCTGAGCCATCTCTCCAGCCCCTTATTTATTATTTTTTATCCTCTGCCTCCCAAGTGCTGGGATTAAAAGACTATATTCTTATGTACAAGTTTTTAGCCATGACATCGAGCATCCATAGGTTTTTCCATTTTCCTCCTTTATGGATTCAGCTGCTCAATTTAGTGTTTGTTTTAATCATTTTATTTTAGCCATTTTTAAAGCATTCAGTATTTCTATGTCTTAGCCTTGGCAACTTCAATTTTTGAGAAACATGACTATTAATTGGATATTATCAATGGTGTCAATACAGAAAAATGGCATTAGTGCATACTGTGCCTCTCGATTATTAAAAATAATTAAATGGTAAGAATCACGTTTAAAATTTTAGAGAGTAAGATGGCACTTATATTGAAAAGCCATTAAAATATGTTTTGGGGGCTGGAGAGCTGGTCAGTGGTTAAGACCATGTACTGCAATTTCAGAGGACCCTAGTTAATTTCCCAAAACCCAGTTCTCAGCACCCACATCAGGCAGGTCATAACTGCTTATAACTCTAGCTCCAGGGTACTCAACACCCTCTTCTGGTCTTCAGGCACCCATATTCACACATGCACCCCCCCCACATATATAACTTTAAAAAGAATATTTTATTTTTATTTTATGTGTATGCATGTATTGCCTGTGTGTAGGTAAGTGCACCCATGTCGTGCACTGCCAGCGGAGGACAGAAGAGGCTGTCGGATCCCCTGGGACTGGAGTTATGGACAG